GCTCAGTAATAATAAATAAATTAAAATATATAATGTCTTGCCTGACAGTAGCTCAGTGTTAGAGCATCTCAGATAAGCAAGCTGCTAGCAAGTTGTGGTCAATCCCAGTCAGGCACACACAGAGCATCATCATGCATAAAAAGTGAACAATAATTGATGTTCTTCTTCTCTCTCTCTCTCCCTCCCCTCTTTAAAAGTCATAAATATACATAAAATGTTTTTAAAATTTAAAAACTACTTACCCCCGCAAAAGTACTCCAGAAGAATGAAACTACGGTCATCTAAACTCTCCAATGAATAATACCACGTGTGGCTATTCACTTCAAGATTGTTACACCTGGATTCCTCCCACAGCCACCCGAAGGCATGGTTCTCTCCCCCAGAATCTATATCCTGCGGCCTCAGCTGTAAAACTTAGTTCTAGGGAGGGAGTAACTCTTACTGTGAAGTTCACCTACTCGGCGGACAGACCCGGAGGTGAAAATGCTCCCCCCTCCGAGCACGTACCTGCTCCTGGGAGCCTCTTCTGGCGGCTTTGCGGCCCCGCAATCCACCGGGGGCACATCCGTGATCTCCGCCGGCTTGGGGTCGGCGGCCGCTGCGGGCTCCGGCGGCCTGGGAGCCTCCCGTCCACGCTGGGCAGGGCCGGCGGCGGAGCACCTAGCGCCCACACCAGGCCTGACATTCGGCTTCACGCTCAGGCGTGCCCGGCGGAACATGGCGGAGCCAGGGGGCCCGGGGAGGCGGCCCACGGCCGCTCTCAGCCCCGAGCCCCGGCCGCGGCGCGAGAGGGGAAAGGAGCTACGCCTTCCCACGAAGCCACGAACCGGCCCAGCGGGCAGCTACCGGAGATTCGCGCCGCCGCCGCCTCCGGCTGCCTCCCGCCGCCGCCTCTTCCTCATGACCCTGCTACGTTCAGAGGAGGGTTCCCCCCTATCCCTAGCTCCCCGCCCTTGCAAGGCGCCTAAACTAATAGCATCATCAGCCAGCGCTGCGCAATGACGTCAGACGCACAGCGCCCGCAGCCATGGTAACTGTCAAAACTACGAAGTCCGGGTGGCTGGTGAGCCAGAAACGGAGATGCCAGGCTGTGGGCTCTGCCCTCTCCAGGCGTCCTTAGAAATTGCTGAAAAGAAGGGGGAAAGCTAGTCAACCCCTCGACCCCAGATTTTACAGGAACTACTAAAATCGCTGGCCGGTTTTGTTTTTAGAGGGTCCTGTGGAGCAGGGACTGTTTACTAGCACATCCCCAGGCTTAGAAACTCTAGATTGAGTAGAAATAGATTAGAAATTCAGACGTGAAGCAACTGATAATAGTTACCTCCTAGGAGGGAAACTGAGTTTCAGGGAAATATGTCGTGGAGAGCATTCACTGTATGTGCTTGTGTACTTTTTAATGTGAATGTGTTCCCTGTTCAAAAATTATTAGTTAAAACTTGTAAATCAATCTGCTTCAGGAGATAGCAGTGGAGCAATAAACAAGACATTCTGGTAGCAGAAGAAAAGATACAATAAACAAATGAACAAGATAACTTAAGAATGCATTAATCTCAGCCTGCGTGGCTCAGTGGTTGAGTGTCAACCAATGAACCAGGAGGTCATAGTTTGATTCCTGATCAGGGCACACACCCAGATTGCAGGCTCGATCCCCAATGTGGGGCATGCAGGAGGCAGCTGATCAATGATTCTCTCTCATCATTAATGTTTCTCTCTCTCTCACCCTCTCCCTTCCTCTCTGAAATCAAAAATATTTTTTAAAGAATGAATTAAATTCCATAAAAGAAATATAAAGTGTAATATGACAGAGATTAATAGGAGACTGGCTTGCTTTAGGTTGCATGGTTAGAGAAGGCCTCTATGATGAATGAAAAATGGCAAGAGTGGGGGTCATCTCTCCCTCTCTGAAAGCAATAAAAATATTTTTTAAAAGAAATCAAAAAGATTTTGGAGGTGTCTCAAAAATCTTAGAGCCACTGCCAGGACCATATAGCTTTGGACAGCATATTCTAGTATAAACTGAAGACACAAGGCTTTTCCTCAAGTGTTTTGTTCCACATTAAGAGTCTAGGGTATTATGCAGTTAAGGAAGTCAATAATGACCAAGATTTAATTTCCCATTAGTAAAGGGGTGAGAACAGAGTCAGATTTAATTTTATTATTAAAGTCAAAATATTTGTTACACACCCAAATTTATGGAGTAAATTCTTTTTAAAAAAAATATATTTTATTGATTTTTTACAGAGAGGAAAGGAGAGGGATAGAGAGTTAGAAACATCGATGAGAGAGAAACATCGATCAGCTGCCTCCTGCACACCCGCTACTGGGGATGTGCCCACAACCAAGGTTCATGCCCTTTACCGGAATCAAACCTGGGACTCTTCAGTCCACAGGCCAAGGCTCTAGCCACTGAGCCAAACTGGTCAGGGCGGAGTAAATTCTTAATGGCATCATAATAACTTAAAAAGTCTCCAGTTTCCCCAAAAGACACACCCAAGGTTTCTCATGTACATGTTGCACATCATGTGCATCCCTACAACTTGAAAATTGTATTTTCAGCTGCAAAGAAAAAGCTCAATTAGACTGTAAATTAAGACCATATACAGGAACAACTCTGCCACCTACCATCCAATCCCAAATTCTTTCCAGCCCTTCCTCAGGATGCTTTTATTTATTTTTTAAAATTCTTTATTGTTTAAAGTATTACATATGTCTCCTTTTCTCCTCATTGACCTCTCCCTGGCCACTCCCACCCCCCAGCACATGCCCTCACCCCCCTTTGTCTGTGTCCATTGTTATGCTTATATGCATGCATACCAGTCCTTTTGGTACATCTCTTACTGACCCGCCC